CGTAACAATATCAGGATAAGAGGGTTCATGAACTTGTTCAATCGGATAATTCGCGCAAAAAGACGATGGGACCGGGAGGAGAGTATTGATATGTGGGAGGAAAGTGACTTTTTCTTGACTGAACTATTTGGCCTCCGGCCATACGAGCCCGATCCAGAGCACGAAGACTGGAATTGTAAGTTTGATAAAATCTTATTGATAAAATTTAAAGAATACATATAACACTTATATATTTATATTTACATATTTATATATTTTATGTTATACATTTTATGTTATGTTATACTATTATCTTTTATATATTATTATATATTTTTTATTTATTCATATTATTTTTTCATCTTACAAATGGCGGCGATCGCGACGACAGGATCCCAATATGTGACGTCATAACATGGCGACACGTATCATTGATACTGGTGTTTACGTAAACACCGATAGCGCCGGGACCTTCCCGCTCCTTCCCCCTTAGAGGACCCGAGTTAGAGCCCGCCTACTATTCCTACTATTTTGCATTTTCTATTTTAAATGGTTGTTGGAAAATCATTTTCATTTTACATTTGAAATGGAATCATGTTATTTTATATTTGAAATGGAATCATGTCATTTTACATTTGAAATGGAATCATTTAACCATTTATGAAATAGGTAAATACCAAATGATTTTTCTATATTTTCACAAATTTTCTCTAAAATCATTGATGTATAAGAAGAACCATGATTGGCCATTTTTATGAATATCAAGCAAACTGCAAATTAAACTATAAAAAGAAAATTAATTCCAGATAGTTCATAAATAATTTTAATAAAAAAATGAATGTTTTAGCTTTATGTAAATACTGTATAGATTTCTAAAAATGTATATTACTCTTAATATCTAATTTTGACTGTAACCGACGCTTCTCGTATTAATTTGATTTATTCAAGTAAACGATCCTATTTTCAAATCATATAATATTAAAAAATTTTAAATATTCTCGTAAAAAGATACTTTATTTATTATACTGTAGTCAGGGCTTCGAATTCTGTTAAAAATGGATTTCAAACGTAGAATACTTTTAAAAAATGTATATCATCCTAGCGGAAAGTTTTTATGAAAACCTACATAGATTGAAACTTAGAAATTCTTAGTTTTTCGTAGATATTCATAGATGTTCGTAGATATTTGTAATGGGATGTAGAGTAGTGTTGTTTGTTTGAAAAATCAAGAAATCCTCAAACAACGTCACTCTACGTCTCGCTACAAATATTTACAAAAATTATGGATTTTTGAGACAAATAAACCTCACTCTATGTTCCATTACGAAAAATTAAGAATTTCTAACATCTTGTCTCAATCTATTTAGGTTTTCTGTATTTTTTGTAAAAATTTTTTTTTTCTCTAGGGCAGAAAAAATCATTTGAAAACTATTTAAAATACCTATTTATCCACTTTTACATTTAATCACTTATCCATTTTTACATTTAAAATGGGTTCGAAAAATTTATTTTGCATTTTGCATTTTAAATACACTTTTTAAAAATATTTTATTATACAATTAGTATTTTAAATGGAATTTGAAAGGCATTTTACCTAATCTTATATGTATATAGAAATCTAAATAAAATTAGAAATCTATTACGGATTTTTAAATTTCTATACACACACACACACACACACACACACACATTATGCTTCCTTATGTATCCCTTTTCCTTTATTTTCCTTTCTTTCTTTTTTTTCTTTTCTTTTTTCTTCCTTTTTCTTTCTCTTTCTTCCTCTTTCTCTCTTTTTTATGAATCTTTTTCATGAAGACAAATAATAACTAAGCATAAAATACTGTATGAAGATACTAACATATAGGTGTACAACTTTGCTTCCGCCATTTTCCTATAAATGGCTTTAGCGGTAAGTGGTGATCGAAATAAATAAATCATAGACGTCATACAATAAACTTGGGCATCTATCAACATAACCCCATAGAAACATTAGTCGATTTGTGTCTGCATCATAAAGTTATTCTCGATTGAAAATGTCAGTTTACGAGCCAAATTCTCATCATTTGCGGGAGGTTTTAATTTTCTTCAATATGAAAAAATCTGCGGCTGAGGATCATCAAATGCTCTCAAATACTTATTGTGAGGCCGTCTATTAGTGAAAGAACGTGTCGTGAGTGGTTTCAACACTTCAAGAACGGTGATTTTGACGTCGAAGACTGGCATAGCGGTGAAAGAGGGAAGGTTTTCGAAGATGCAGAATTGGTGGCATTACTTGATCAAGACTCGTGTCAAAATCAAGAAGAATTGGCACGATCATTGGGAGTGACTCAACAAGCCATTTCAAAACGCCTCAAAGTCATGGGAATGATTCAGAAGCAAGGAAATTAGGTGTCGTACAAGTTGAAGCCGAGAGATGTTGAACGGCGTTTATTTGCTTGTGAATAGCTGCTTGAAAGGCAAAGATGGAAGAGATTTCTGCATCGCATTGTGACTGAGGACGAAAAATGGGTTCATTACAATAACCCCAAGCGCAGAAAATCATGGGAAGTTCCCGACCATACTTCTACGTCGACGGCCAAACCGAATATTCACGGCTCCAAGGTCATGCTGTGTATTTGGTGGAACCAGTTCGGCGTAGTGTATTATGAGCTGTTAAAACCGACTGAAACAATCACAGGCGATCAGTATTTTACGAACGCAATTGATGCGTTTGAGCCGAGCATTGAAAGACAAACGGCCACAATACAACGAGAGACACGATAAAGTGATTTTGCAGCATGACAATGCTCGACCCCATGTTGCGAAAGTGATCAAGACATACTTGGAAACGTTAAAATGGGAAGTCCTACCACCCGCCATATTCTCCAGACGTTGCTCCCTCTGACTATCACTTGTTTCGATCAATGGCACATGGCCTAGCTGACCAGCACTTCCGGTCTTATGAAGAAATAAAAAATTGGATCAATTCATGGATCGCCTCAAAAGATGACCAGTTTTTTCGACGAGGGATTCGTACGCTGTCCAAAAGATGGGAGAAAGTAGTGACCAGCGATGGACAATACTTTGAATCATAAATGTATAACTAGTTTTTTACAATAAAGCTTCGAATTTCTGAAAAAAAACGGCGAAAGCAAAGTTGTACGCCTAATAAATATTAATATTTTAATATAACTCTATACTTTATTTAGAACTGCCATTTACCGTCATTTACCACTGCTATTTGTTCAGTGCAACTTCAACGAGTTGCGGCAAAATATATTTTGCGTCGGAAATCTCACGTAAAATTTTTAACCAATAGTAATGAATTGTTGCCGCAGCATGCTGCGTATGAAAAAGCACCTTAAGGGTGAAACCACACGGTACGGAAAAGGATTGCAAAATAGAGAATACGTCATTGAAGCAAGCAATCTGCATTATTCCAAATAGCGCTAATTGATTGTTTCAATGACGCGTTCTTTCCCGCAATTTGTGATTTCACTCTAGGGTATATCCATACAAATTTACATAGCTGCATAAACATAAAGAAAGTTATCCAATTACATTTTACGTGTGTCTTTATAAGAAAAATATGATTGAATGATTTTCTTTATACAATTTTCTTTATACGTTTATGCAGCTATGTCCTTTCCAATGTCCTTTTCTATGAAAGAGGATTCATCTATAAAATCCACACACATTTTAAACTATTATTATAATAATTAATTATTATTATAATTAACTATTATTATTAACTATCTATTATTATAATCTATCTATGGTTCATCGTATAATACAAGTTCACTTTCAACATTAACTCATCCGTGCATAGTTTTCTCTCCTCCATTTGTTCTAAAGTATGATTAATAGCCTCTTCACAAAATCTATGGTTTTGAATACAATCGTACTTAGAAGAGGCTGTGCGAGCGATAACGTCGAGGAACTAAAGCTCTCTAAATTGGAATGAATATGTTATGATCTTAATAAAAGTATATCTGTAAATTAAATTACACATAGTGGATAAAACATGCGACGTCATATGTAATGACTAAGGTTACACATGGAAACATCCTTAGAAACATCTTACAAACCTCGAATGCGTTATTGTACAAACTTATTACTTGTAATACAGATTATTTTACTAATACATTTTTCGTATAAGAGAGAATTATTATAATAATTATAATTAATAATTACACTTAACCCCATTTGAAGTATTATTCAATATATAGCTATCATAATCTTTGCAATGACAGCTTTTCATGAAGTAAGCACAACGAGAGAACCAATCAGCATCGCGGAAAAGCGACAACAATAAACTTCGATATTCGAGTAAACTTCGATTACGAGTATCAATTTAATATCACCTTTTTTAGAAAGCATTTCTTCATTTGTTGTTTCAGGTAAGAATTAAAGTCATCAGAATGTACACAAAATAATGACGGCGAGGCGCAAGCTTTAGTGTTAATTTTTTTGTCACTAACAATACTTTTTTGTATATAAAAAATTTAATTACATTGTTGAATAATAGTATTAAAACGTGCAAATACAATAAACATTACTATTTCTATAAAAGAAAAAAAATTACGAAGTAATAGTATTTATTTTTCGATCTCCTAAACCAAGCGTTCCCCTTAATTATTCGATTATTTTCATTTGTAAAATTTTTATAAAGACAATTTAAAAATTATTTTGAAGCATGAGAAGTATAATAATATTTAAAAAAAAAGAATTTTTTTTCATTTTATTTACCTTATACAGAAAGCGTATAAAATAGAAGAAAACACTCTTTTAAGAAAAAGAAGTGTGTTTTTCTATTCTATTCTATTTTTTTATTCTTCTTTATTATTTTTTTTTATTCTATTCCCTTTTCTTTAAGAAATAAGAGATATTTAACGGGAAGTTTTTAAATTTATTATTTTAAAATTCTGTGTGTGAAATATCTATATAGAATATTTTTTAAAAAGAAGATAAGCAATTAAATTAATTTGAATGATACATTGAAATGTTTCATTCTGTAATTTCACATGTGCATAATTAATTACCTGTAAAGAACTAAAGATCTGTGAATAATACTGTGAATCCCAGAAAGTGGTAAATATGTATCCCAATAAATTCCACTAAGTTTAGCGCTTCCAGGTAAAATATCATTATGATATGATCCTTCCTTTCGGTCCTGAAGCTTTCCAGATAGATCGCCAATAGCGTATTGATCCTGAGTACCGTAACCTATACAATAAGTTATTATAAGAGTAATTAAAATGTTATTTACATATTTATTATTGTATGTTTAATATTATTTTAAATTTGGCCGTTAGTTTAAGTTTTTTACTAATTAATGCATTATGTATTACGAGGGGTATCCAGAAAATAAGTTCCGTTTTTTTTTTACAAATAAAGTTTTTATTGAAAAAATCTAAAATTTACATGGATAATACTTGACAACTTCTAGTCTTTTTCTACATAATTCCCGTCAATCTCAATACATTTTGTATATCTGGAAACAAGCTTCGAAATCCCTTCTGCATAGAAACTTCCCGCCAGTTCTTTAGTCCAGTTAGTTACAGCTGTCTGAACTTCCTCGTCGCTTTGGAAGCGTTTTCCGGCCAAGGACTCCTTCAGTTTCGTAAAAAGATGGTAGTCCGATGGTGCTAGATCCGGGCTATACGGTGGGTGGGTCAAAACATCCCAACTAAACTGATTCAAAAGTGCAGTTGTTGAATAGATTCACTCATCACACTCTCTCCATATACAGAAACAAGCTGTTTGTGAATATCAACCGATTTAAAATCTTGAGCAAAAAGAAACTGAATGATGCCGCGCAAAACAACTCGAGAAGGAATCGGAATGGAGGTGGCGGGACGCGAAGTGGAGGACTCCATTTTGATAACCTCTCCTGACCGTGTTTCACGAGCTACTGACGCCGAACACCGCTCATTCTATTCGGTAGCTTCCCCTCTTCAATGCTGTGTTGCCAACTCGCTCATACATCGACCTTACTAAACGTATAATACAAACGGAACTTATTTTCTGGATACCCCTCGTATAATATACAAAATACTGTATTTACATTGTTTAATAATTTTTTATTGTCTACTTACCTGGTGGTGGAGTAGTCTGTTCGTCGATATTCGAAGGATTGAACAATTTCTTAGTAGTTGAGCATGAATCCATAGGAATTCTGATATTTTTTGCTGGTTCTGGTGGTAATTCGTGAATCCTATAAGATGCTATTTTAGTGACGTACCGTAATCTAATTTCCAAATTATTTATTGTTGTTAATGAAATATTGATCCACGTTGGATTAAACGGCGTCTCTTGAATCGCCGTAATTTGGCCTCTAATACCACGTGAATTAATTATGGCCCTGAATAATTTTAAAAAATTATTGTTTTAAGAAATTATATTTTAATATTATTTGTTTTAATCTTATATTATCTTGTTTCAATATTTTGTTTTATTTCAAATTTTATTATTACATGTTATACATATATCGATGCTTTTTACTAATTTTTTATTAATATGTACAGGATAATCCAGGACCCAAGTATCCTTCAAAAAACGTATTCCTAATTTTAAAGCGATTTTTCATTATAAAAAGAACCACACAAATCTTATGGAAAATGAATTTCGGTCAAATTGTTTCAAATTTTAATATTTTGTAGCAGAATTTATGTTTAGAAATATTTCCGGCAAGGAGAGGCACACGAATCATGATAAATTTTAATATAACAAACAGTCACTTTTTATTTAACAATCATTGCCATGATGCACAAAATTTTATAGAATTCTTAAATTTTAGTGATAATGACTATGAAATCGATCACAAAGGGACTGCGCAACTGACCAAAAAAAGCCAAGCAAATAATTAAATTGCGAATAATTAAATTACATAACAACGCACTTTCCACTTGGACTTATTAAGGGATCGCCACTCGAAATGTCATTTTATACCATAGAATGATCTAAAATGTTCGATGGACTTAACAGTAATCTTTTTGTAAATTTTCCTTTGTTCTCATCATACGTTCCGGATCGCCTTTATTTTGTATATACATAAATTGTCAACCGCCGCATAACGTCTCTGGATTGACGCAACGCGTTGTCGGTCGCTTTGCCACATGATCGTTCACAATTCGAAAAATATTTTAATCCAAAAAATTCACCGTCGCGAACCTCGCCCATTGGCGCAAGAGGTTGCATCGAATCTTTGGCTGTGCCAGTTTCGATAAGCGACACTGAATCTCGCAAGTTTTTTTTATCATTACTGGTCATTGCGCTTCGAACTGATTTCTCGACAGTAGCTCATGTCAAACTGATTAATTTATTGAGGGCGGGGATTTTTCCTTTAAAATTGACCTTTTTTTTCCTACAGAAAATCCATCTATATATTAAATGTACATCTTGCATAGAATCGCTAAATTTGTGAGTGGCCAGAATTTTGGCCAATCTCGTCCTGAAAGGAAAGGCCAAAAGAAAAAATTTTCATAAATCGCGATAAAACCGTTTTTAAATGTTTTTAGAATTCCGTATCTCAAAAGGAAAAGCGGAACCCTTATCTCAGATCACTCATGTGTCTTTCCGTCTGTCACAACCGTTTTTCTCTGAAACCACTTGACGTAGAAACTTGAAATTTGTGGCGTAGTAATGAATTATATTGACCTACATATTTGCCAAAAGTGAGCACTAAAAAATATCCACATGGAAATTTTAAGGAGGAGTTATGATATCAAAAAAATGTTTTTCAATTTCTAACTCATGTGGCATATAATTTGAAAGGACTAGTTGTACCTAAGGAATTCGAAAATATATATTTTTTTAATTTTTATGTAAAATATCCCCGGAGATATTGCCAGAAATATGCATCAAAAACATGTTCTTTACATTATTACTATGAAGTGTTTTTCAGATAAAAGTTGATTTACGATATAATCCGCAACATAAGATCCGCTATATCAAATCCGCCATCGTAAATTTTTATTTTTTATAACTTGTATATGCATATTTATCAATACTTTGTATATCTGTAAATGAGACATAAAATAAATTTTTACTTGATCAGTATACTAGCCAGTCCCGTCATCAAAAGATTAAAAGTCTTCACAAATGCCTTAGTTTTGCTCCAGTACTTTCGAAAGATCATTACATTTTATATGAAAAAATAGTCCAAATAAATTTTTTTTATTAACATTAGTTATAAATACCGTATAATATCATCATGACTCGACCTATGTTGCCATTTAAGATTTTCGATCCCCCTCGTGCCCCACGTGCCCCCTTAGGGGTGGGGGGTCTTAACCCCCCTCAAAAGATAGATTTTTTGAAAAATCGTTTCACGTGTTTCAGCGTTTTTTTTAAATACCGATGGTTTTCGAAATAATTGACCGTTCCGGGACTTGTCGAAAATCTTAAATGGCAACATAGGTCGAGTGGGGGCTCATTTGAAAGGTCTCTCTTCTCAAGACGAATCCAAAACACTCCTCATAGAGGGCGCTGCGTTCACTTTTGAGTGTTTCAGCGTTTTTTTTAAATACCGATGGTTTTCGAAATAATTGACCGTTCCGGGACTTGTCGAAAATCTTAAATGGCAACATAGGTCGAGTGGGGGCTCATTTGAAAGGTCTCTCTTCTCAAGACGAATCCAAAACACTCCTCATAGAGGGCGCTGCGTTCACTTTTGACGGGAAAATGCAATTTTGAAAATTTTTTAGTCAGAAACATTAAAAAAGTTTAGTGTTTCGATAATCACCGGAACACGTGAAACGATTTTTCAAAAAATCTATCTTGATGGTGTAGTAA